ACCAGTCGACGCTCGCGGGCCAGTCGGTGCACTGCGCACGACCTCGGGCAGGCCGACGCCTCGTGCGCCGACGAGGCAATGTGCTGGTTCTGCACGTGGGCGAGGAGGTCGGCGGCCGTCCAGCCGGCGGCGAACTGCACGCGCAGCGGCACGTACTGCCAGCAGGGGCCGACGACGGCGTCGGCGTTGGAGAAGTCGATGGTGCGGCCGCTGACGACCTCGCCAAAGGTGACGTCGCGCGTCGCCAGGCGGCGTGCGAGGCAGAGGGCCCAGGCCGCCGTCGGGAGCGTGGCGACCGTGATGTCCTTGGAGCGGGCCGAGATGTCAAACTGCCTGTGCACCGCAAAATGGTTGCGCTTGGCGACGGGCGTGTCGGGCTTGAGCACGGAGAGGGACGAGCCCTGGAGAAGGTCGCGCCAGTAGTCGAGGCCCTTGGGTATGTTCGACTTGACGACGTGGCCGACGTACGACGAGAAGGGGAGGCTGTTGGGGACGGGCTTGCCCTCGTGCAGAGCCGACAGCTGCTGCAGCATGACGGGCAGGCAAATCTCGTCGTACTGCGCGTGCGAGACGCGGAAGATGAGCGCCGACGGGCCGCTGCTGCTCTGGACGAAGAACCACTTGACAAAGCACGAGCCGAGCGGCATCCTCGTGTAGCTGTCCATGGTGCAGAGCTGCTTGACGAAAGGCTCGACGTCTCCGTCAATCTCATACTCCGCCACCGGCGTTTCGATGTACTCCAGTACCACGCCCAGGTATGACTCCTTGTGGGCGATGAAGACGGTGCGCAAGATCTCGTTGCGCGTGACAAGCTCTTGGCAGCTCTGGTATAGCTGTGCCTTGTTGACGTCGCCGTCAAAGTACATGGCCTCGTATCTCGCCGAGAAGCGAGGCAGCTGGATGGTGCCCTTGATGGCAGCATCCTGCAGCGGCCTCGTGGGCAGCACGTCGATGACGTTCCACGACTTGTCCGCGAGTGCGGGACGAACCGTGTTGACGAGGAACTTGGTAGCTTGCGCCTCCTCGACGAGCTCAAAGGGCTCGAGGGGCTCGACGATCTCCTTGTTCTGCGTGGGCTCCGAATCCTCAAGGACACTGGCCATGTCAAACAGGGTTCTGTTCTTGAATACCTGAGCGACGGTCAGGCGCAGGTTGTCCGCGCGAGCCTCGGACACGAGCTTCATGGCGGAGATCGAATCACCACCGAGCCTGAAGAAGCTGTCGTTGAGACCGATATCCTCCTCCGTCAACCTCAATACACGGCTCCAGAGCGTCCGCAGGCGTCGCTGCTTTGCCGAAGTCGCCGAGATCTTCTTGACAGGGCGACTGGGGGCCGCGCTCTTAGCGGCAGCGCTCTTCTTCTCTGTGATCTGGACGGAGCCGTCGGCGCTGAGCTTGGCGAGCTTACCGGTCTTGAAGAACTTGGCGGCCCTCTGCTCGTCCGCGTGACCGTTGACAACATCTAGCCAGAGGGGCTCGTCCATGGTCGGGAGAGAAAGATCCGCTGTGCTCACGACGACGAGCTTTCCAAGTGCCTCGAGAGGCGCCAGGCGCGTGCTATCCTGTGGGTCGACGATCCAGACAGCCCGAGTCTCGGGGTACTTGTCCTGCACGCTTTGCGGGTTCTTGATGCTCGCGCGCCAGAGCTCAACCTGGTCGTCGTTTGTGAGGTAGCGCAAGTCTCGGATAGGAGCGTCCGTCATCTCGCAGAGCTGGGTCGCGACACGAGCGAACTGGTTTAGGGCCCGCTCCATCAAGGACTTCTCAACCGTGTTGGAGTCGAAGCTGGCCATGACCGAGAAGCCCTTCGAGTCGAGGGCGCAGACGAGCATGAGCGCATACGTGTTGAATTTCAAGGCCTCCTGTGCGGCCTCCGAGTCGCCGGCGGGCACGAGTCTGTCGGCAGGGTAGACCGCCGTGTTGGGTTGCGCTTCACCCTCGGCACTGGGATGCAGAACAAGGCCTGTCCGCAGTTCGCAGGCCTCGTAGGCGTCGGGGCTGAGACGGCGAATGTGCTGCAGGCCCGTGTGCTCGTAGGGAATCTGCTGGGCGGTCGAGTCTTGAATTTCCTGGAGATACTCTGCGACACTGCTCTCGTCGTTGATCTGGACACGGAACGGAATGGTGGTGATCATGGGGCCTTCAATCTCTTCGGCGCCCCTGAGGGCAGCATTGCGCCCGGTGAGCGTCTCGCCAAAGACGACGTCCGTTGTTGCGCTGTAGCGCGAGGCAACATAGGCCCACGCACCACGAATGACAGTCGCCACTGTCGTGTTGGACGCCGGTCGACCAGACAGCGGTACGTGGATCTCAAGAAGCGAGTCCGCTTGCGTCTGATAGCCTTCATACGGCAGAGCCGGGAACTGAGGGCCGTTGGCGCCCTGCAGCCTCTCCCTCCAGAAGGTCTCGCCTTCTTCGCGACTCACTGCGTTGAGGTAGCGGATGAAGTTCTTGAACTCGGCCGGGCGCTGCACCTTCTGGCCGTCATATGCTTTATTGACGCGATCGACGACCAGGGGCATGGACCATCCATCATAGAGCGCGTGGTGCATGGTGAGAACAAAGTATACCTTTGATGATTCGGGGCTGGTAATGAGAGCGTATCGCACAAGGGGCTTGCCGAGGTCCATTGCCTCGTCGCGGTCCTTCACAAGATAGCCCTGGAGGTCATCGCCAATGTGCCAGGCAATTTTCTCGTTGACAACGACTTGGACGAGGCCGTGCTGGGGCACCTGGACAATTCTCGTCCTCAAAATGGGCATCTGTAGCGGCCGTATCGAAAGCCGACCTCAGCTTGTCCGCCATCGCTGCATCATCGAGGTCCACCACTCGCTGCGCAACGTAGGGCCTCCTTGACCTTTGCCGACAAGGCCATCAAGGCTTCCTGTAGAGGCGTACAGGGATACACGTCCTCAACCGTGGCTTCCTCAATCTCGCACAGTTTCGCGACGTCAGCACTTGCAGACTCACGGCTCCAGTCCATGTCAAGCAACGAGAAGGGCTCCACGGCTTCTTGCGTTTCCCTGCGAAGCCGTAGTCGCGGTGGCGGCCATTTCCTTCAGCGTAGGACAGTTGAAGATGTTCGCTACAGTCAGGACAACGCCTTCGTCCTGGCAGCTGCGACGAGACGCATAGCTCGCAGTGAGTCGCCTCCGAGAGCGAAGAAGCTGTCTTGCAGGCCAATCTCGGACGCTGTGCCCAGGATCTTGACCCACGATCGGTGCAAGGCCTTCTCCATGTCGGATTGCGGCGCCGTGTTCTCGGCACTGACAGCGCGCAGACGGGCAACCTCCTCCCTGCTCATCGACGATCCCAGCTCGCGGAGACGCTTGCGGTCGATCTTTCCAGAAACAAGCGAGGGCATTTTGCGCAGAGGAATGTACGACGACGGAACCATGTATCGAGGAATCTCGGCTCCAAGAGCTGTGTCAATCTCGGCGACGATTTGGCTGAGCTCTGCGGAAAGAGTCGTGAGATCGCCCTCTCCGTCATCGGTCGCGGCTGATGCCTGCTCGACGATGAAGGCCACCAGCGTCGGCTCGGTGCCGCCCGGCTTGATGACTTCGGCCGCAATCTTGACACTGGACGGGAGCTTACCCCGGAGATGGTGTTCCACCTCGGCCAGCTCGATACGCTGTCCGCGAAGCTTGACTTGCTGGTCCTTTCGGCCGACAAAGGCGATGGCGCCGGTGCCATCAGGGTCATACCTGACCAGGTCACCCGTCTTATACAAGAGACCGTGGCGGCCGGGCGCGCCGCCGCCGCCGGCGAGAAGCCAAGTAGGATCCTTGATGAAGACTTCGGCCGTCTTTGTGGGGTCGTTGAGATAGCCCAGGCCCACGACGGGGCCCTCGATGAGGAGCTCACCGACGGCGCCGACGGGCATCAGGCGGTCGTGGTCGTCGGGGTCGACGATCCAAGTGAGGCCGCCAGTGCCTTTGCCGATATTGGTCGACGTGCTACTGACGCTCCCGTTGATGGTGCAACCGACTGTGCACTCGGAGGGCCGTACGCGATGATGACCTTGGCACTTTGACTCCAGGCTGAGGCATCACCAGCAGAAACAGCTTCACCGCCCAGGCCAAGGACTTCGAGGGACGGGATTACATTAGAGTCCAGAACTCTGGCGACGGAGGGCGTCATGTGCGCCATGTTGCTCTTGCTCTTGCGGATGGCGTCACTGAGGTCATTCATGCGATCCTCATCGGAGGGGATGCAGAAGCATCCGCCATTCGCAAGCGTGCAAAGCATGCAGTCGATGCTCACATCGAAAGCATAGGAGGCAAAGTCGAAGACGCGGGAGTGCGACCTGTAGCCGACAAGATCGGCTCGAGGAACAGCACCGCTGGTGTAGTTCTCGTGAGAGCACATGACACCCTTGGGCTTGCCGGTACTGCCAGAGGTAAATTGAATGTAGAGGGGCGATGAGGTCGGGATCGTGGGAAGAGCAGCGTCAGGCTCCGGCGTCAACTGCTCGAGCGTCTCACCAGAGACGACAACTGTGGTGGTGGCATCGCCAGCAATGCGTTCACCTAGGGTGCTCTGGAGTTGCGAGGTGATGAGCAGTCTGGCATCAGTCTGCTCAATGATCGTCCGCAGACGGGCTTCCGGCTGGCTGGGATCTGTGAGCGCAAAAGCAGAACCGGCTTTCATGACGGCAAGCAGAGCAACAATGGTCCATCGCGACTTCTCAAAGCAAAGCGGAATGATGCCCCCGACCTGCGCTCCGCGGGCGACCAGGTGCTTGGCCAGGCGTGTAGAGAGGTCCTCCACCTCGGCGTACGTGAAGTTTCCGTCCCATGACTCGATGGCATGGGCGTCCGGTTGAGAGACGGCCTGTTCGGTGATCATATCGTGCATGCATTGCTCCATCAGCGGCGGCAGTGTGGCGTTCCATGACCACAATTGATCAAGGTCTGCCAATGTCGGGCCAGTAGCTTCTGAGACGGACCGCTCTGGGTGTTCCAGGATTGTGGTAAGGATGTCGATGAATGAGTTGAGTCTTGTCGTGGCGAGACTTGTTGACAAAGCTGTTCGGCTCCAGTCCGCTTTCACGGTCAACTCCTGTTCAGAATATGAGACCTCAATCTGGTATGTCCACTGTCATGGGTTAGCTTGCGGTGGTTTTGTAGAGTATCGGCACCTCACTTCGCGAAAGTTGTTTTGTGAGTCCTTCTCACGACCACTTTTGGTGGCTGCTGATCCGTTGTTGAACAAAAGTGTGTGTTGCGTGGTGCTCTCCTGTTCAGGTGTCGTAGGGTCTAGCTGCTGGACAGCTTCCAGTGCTGATGTCAAGGAGCAGTTCTTCTGGAAGGGAACGTTGCTCAGGTCCAGGGAGTGGTTCGTCTCAGACGATTGTCCGCCGTTGATTCTGGCGCCCCAAGAAATCTGGCTACCATCGTCATTCTCGCGGTACAGCACCAAGATCCAAGCGAGCAAGAGCTCAAGCTTGGGGGCGGTGGTAGTGTTCAGTTCGGATCGGGGAGTAAAGGGTATCGTGCGGGTAGAGGAAGGTTTGTTTTCCGGGGTCCTGGCCGAACTGACGGCTGTACCGCCGCTCTCACTGTCTCGTCGAAGATACATGGTAACAACGCTGAATGGGTATAGTATCACAAGGTGTTGGAAAGAAAAGGTTGAGCTGGTGAACAAGACGAGGAACGGAGGCGCCGTTCAGGCTTCAAGATGGAAAAACCACAGGCGTTCGCATCCGAACCACTGGCCACGAGCTCCGATGCTTCGTCTCGCGCCTCACAGCTATGCCCCGAGCTCTTCGCCTCATCCGGTGCCCATGCCCGACCCATGTTGCCTGCATGACAGGAAGATGGGACTCTATCAAGAAATGCCGCGCGAGTGCTGCAAACTTCCCACCACAGTCCCCACATGGTGTTGATCACAAGCACCTGGAGAGAAGGGCGAGAATAGTGTCTTCACTGCTGCCTCGGTTCTCGTTGCCCTCGACGCTGGCTCGCCTGGCTGCAGTGCGTGGGTTGCAGTGATGGACCAAGTGGGCAGGTAGGGTGTTGTCACGCCCCCCACCCCTCCCTTTCACGCCCCTTGCACTGAAGAAGGGTACTTCAAAGTACATGCCAAGACGGCCCCGTAGGGAGGGACCGATGAGAGGATGATCCCAGGCCATCCGAAGACGATGTGGGCCGTGCAAGTCTTTGGATTGTTGGAGCTCGCTCGAACGAGAAGATCTGATAACTCTATTTCGCCATGAAGGGTACCTTGTCGTAGCCCATGACTTCATGAGCCGTCCTCGTTAGCCTTGTTGAAAGTGCACCAGTAGCGCACGAGTAGCCGGCGTTCGCCGCTCGCGGAGATGGCGAAAGCGAGCGGTGCTGTGTAGCAATCTTTTATCGGGGAGATCTCGTGGGAGAAGTTTTCTCGTGCCATGGCATCCTCAGGGATCAGCGCATTGAAGACTTGGCCTTGCCCGATTTCGGCACTTGCGTCGTCGGTGGAGACTGTTAGCTCTGGCTAGGCTGGTTGGATCCAACGGCTTGCATGGGGAGATGAGTGGCTTGATGTCATGAAAGAGGTGGTCTCCATGGACCCCGTCATGTTGCGAGGTGTCAGATCAGATACGAAAAGGAAACTGAAAACCCCCGGAGCGAGTGAGACTGCGAGATGCACGGCATGTGAAACGTCTTATACCCACGCGAGGCGTTTTCCCTCTCTGGGTTGGAGCTCACCTCCCGTACAAATGACTATAGCGTCGCGTGTGTGTACATAACAAAGAGAGCGTCTTGGCCGATGATGCATCAGGATGGATGGATTTCGAAAGAAGGCATCGTGAGAGAAAGCCTCGTTCATCGACTGGTCGGACACAGAGGGGGCTACGTGACAAGCGGAGCTATTGATGTCCGCTTGGCGGCTACCGCCCCTTGGGTCCGCGGGATGAACAAGAAGTTTTGGGCTTGACCATGATGCGAGCGACTTATGAATCAGCTCGCCTGTGTGCCTTTGAGAGTGTGCTTGTGTTCCGTGACAACCGCGGCGACCTCGCAATGCCGTAGAGAGGGGGGGGGGGGTGGTTCCAACGATCCAGGGTGTCCGTGGGTTCAGGGTGCGCGGGTGATCAAAGCAGGGGCAGCGTCAAATGGGTGGCCGAGAACGAGCGTGGTCGCAGGCAGGGATGCAAGGTCAACGAACCGTCCCGCGCCGCATTTCCGCTGTAGGCATAGGCAGCTCATTGTGTCTGGGTCCTCGGTCATGGTGCAGCAGAAGTTGTGACGGCGCCCTTGAGGTGACGTCGATATGGCTGATCGGGACGCGCTGGCAAACGAGCCTTTCTTTTGTCGCCAGGACGTCTCGATGCTAGAAAGTCTACCACCAAAGTATATCGAGTAAAGAAGCACCATGTACGTTAGACCAAGGCAATGGCCCGTCTTCTTTCGTCTTCATCTCGAGCAAGCGGCCAGGCGACCTGTGACGTGGGGCCGTGGCCACTCGTCGAAGAAACAGGGTCGGAGGCGATGTCCGAACTGGTGCTTGGCCGAGCTGCAATGCGACCATGTCGTGCGTGCGTTGACAGTGGCTGGGTGTGGTGGTGTGCACCATGGGTACCATGGTGTGGTGTGTCATGGCGAGCTCGTGAAGAAGAGGCAAGACAAAGAGGTTAGCACGAAACAGGGCCCTAGGTAATAAAGCACCTTACCATTCCGTGATGGTGGAGATGGCGCGGTGGGGGGCAGGAGAGGGAAGGTGGAAAGCGAGAGGTGTGGGCAAGATGCGAGGTGCTGCAAAAAGAGCAAAAGGGCGAGTCGAGGCGAGAAGAGACGAGACGAGACGAGACGAGGCGATCGATGCCCTAGTGTGGCACCATTGTGGATGCGTGAGGTTGGAAATATGGGGGCCATCGTGGCTTCACAGCATCTGAGTGGCTGTACTCGTTGCGTGCCCGACCTCGGCGTGGGGCGGTGATGAAAAATCTTATCTGATCATCAGATTAGATCCAGTCCCTAACCCTTCCCACGGCCGACTCTATCCGATCCTTGTCCATAACGTGCCAGCTGGCCAGCTCACCAGCTTGCAGCCTGCTAGCATGATGGATTGGCACAACACCCCAGACGACCATCATGCACCCAAAACTTTTATCCCGCACCCCTTGAGAGATTCATCACCGTTGTGCGAGCCTTGACCTGACCATGGTTCGCCCACCCACTGGGCTAGCCCCCCCGCCCTGGCGGGACTCATTGCCTGTTTGGCTCAAGTCCTGCTGGGAACGAAGGGTCCCGTCCGTCTCGACTTGCCAGCTGAAGAAACCCGCTTGGTCTTTGGGATGACGGAATGTCAGTTTCGGCGTCAGCCGCCGATCCAGAAGTAGGGGTCTCAACAGGCATGACTGACGCAGAATGCTCGGCCGACAAGAAAAAAAAGTACGCCGAGGACCAAACCGGGCCAAATCGTGTGGCGTACTTTTGTGTGTAAACCTATCGCTCGCTGTCCGGAGGGGGAGCTTTCAATGTCATAGATTCCTGCTCCATCGAAGGCTAGACTTGGTTTGACAGCAACTCCATCCCAAAGAGAAAAAAAAAACAGCACCAAGATGGCGACCGAGACAGTATCCCTTCCTTCCAGCGAGCCCGTCACGCCGACACAAAGGCTATCGATCCTCCATGGCCCTGTCGACCCGCCTCTGATTGACTTGAGCCTGGGCGAGCTCCTCGAACTCCAAACCTACCATCACGGCACCAAGGAGTGCATCGTCATTCCATGGACAGGCACGAGATGGACGTACAACGACCTCAATCAGCAGACGCTGCTGCTGGCTCAGGCCCTGCTGAACCAGGGCATCGGTGTTGGTGATCGTGTGGGCATCATGGCTGGAAACTGCGAGCAGTATGCTGCGGTTTTCTTTGCCGTGGCACGAATCGGCGCCATTCTCGTCATCCTCAACAACACATATACGCCCACGGAGGCCATGTACGCTCTGAAGTTCTCCGGTAGGTCGAGCTCCTCTCGTGCGGGCTGGATCGGTGACCGCTGACCGTACGTGAACCCAGATTGCAAGATCTTCTTCACAACGCAAAAGATTGGCCGTCTCGACAACGGCCGCCTCCTCGCCGATGTCAAGTCCCAAGCCCCGAATGTCAAGGTCTTCATGCTGCGCGGCGAGGCTGGCCCGTACCAGACCTACAACGACCTCATCAAGTCGAGTGCCCGCCAAAGCTTTGACGACCTCCACCACGCCATGAGCAAGGTCGTCCCGCACCAAGTGTGCAACCTTCAGTTCACCAGCGGTACGACAGGCCTGCCCAAGGCCGCCATGCTCACGCACCAGTATGGACCCCGGACCCCCGTCGCGTTCACTTGATCGTCCCTAACAACAGCAGCTCCCTCGTCAACAACGCCCGCTTCATCGGCGACCGCATGCGTCTCACGCCCTCCGACATTCTCTGCTGCCCGCCGCCCCTCTTCCACTGCTTCGGCCTCGTCCTCGGCCTCCTCTCCGTCGTCACGCACGGCGCCAAGATCGTGTACCCGGCCGAAGTCTTCGACGTGCCGGCGACGCTCTCGGCCATCCTCGACGAGCGCTGCACGGCGCTGCACGGCGTGCCCGCCATGTTCGACTCGCTCTTCCAGGCGGCGCCCGACGACTTTCGCTCGTCGCGCATCCGCACCGGCATCGTCGCCGGCGCGCCCGTGCCCCGCTACCTCATGGAGCTCATGGTGCGGCGGCTCGGCATGCGCGAGTTCACGTCGAGCTACGGCCTCACCGAGGCGTCGCCGACGTGCTTCAACGCCTTCACCGACGACGCCCTCGGCAAGCGCCTCACCACCGTCGGCACCCTCATGCCCCACGCCCAGGCCAAGATTGTCGACCGCGACGGCAAGATTGTGCCCCTCGGCACGCGCGGCGAGCTCTGCATGGCCGGCTACCAGCTGCAGGCCGGCTACTGGAACAACTCGGAGAAGACGAACGAGGTCATGGTCCGCGACGCCGCCGGCACGCTGTGGCTGCACACGGGCGACGAGGCCGTCTTTGACGAGGACGGGTACTGCACCATTACCGGCCGGTTCAAGGACATAATCATTCGAGGTACGTCATTTCCGCCCTGGTCTCACTTTCTGTTCTCTACTTCTTGTCCCTCTCTTTTTTCATCTTTCTTCGCCGTCCCTTCGTCTCGTGTCCAAAAACTAACAGCACAGGCGGCGAAAACATCTACCCCCTCGAAATCGAAGAGCGCCTCCTCGCCCACGAGACCATCACCCAGGCCGTCGTCGTCGGCCTCAAGGACGAGCACTACGGCGAGGTCGTCGCCGCGTTCCTGCAGCGCGCCGAGGGCGCCGACACGGCGCAGCTCTCGGACCAGGACATCAAGGCCTGGGTCCGGCAGACGCTGGGCGGGCACAAGTCGCCGTCGCACGTCTTCTGGCTGGGCGAGGACGGCGTGCCGGCCGACGTGCCGCTGACGGGGAGCGGCAAGGTGCGCAAGTTTGAGATGGCCAAGACGGGGGATGAGATTCTGAAGAAGAGGAAGGGCGTTGTGGCTGCGAAGCTGTAATGGTTTCTAGGGTTTCGGAACGGAGAGTTTTTTTTTTCGGGGGGTCGGACTGTAGAGCGTTTTGTCTTTTTTCTTTTCCTTTCTAGAACGAGATAGAGTCAATGGTATGGCGTTTGGTTCAGATACGCGATGGATTGTGCTGGAAGAATAGAGTAAGCGATCACGTACTCGGCAACTTGGCACACCCCACCATATCCGTGTGCAATCGAATCGGGTGATCAACCAACTGCATCAATTGACAATCAAATCGGCTAACACAGCATGAGCAACAAAGTGGGAAACGTTATCAAGAATGAACCATAACGCCAGTCTACATAAATTACAGCTTCGGCAGCAGCCCCAACCTCAGACCACCCACCATCTTCTCATTGTCGCCGAGCGGACACAGCTGGAAGAAGCGCTCGCGCGAGCAGCGCACAAAGGCGCTCCTCTTGTGCGGCAGGTCGACAAACTTGTCGAGGCCGAAGCCGTGCATAAAGTCGTACATGAGCACCGTGTCGTTTGGTCTTCTTGGGCTCGCCGACGACCCAGCTGGTGCGGGGGTCGTCGAGGTAGAGGTAGTGCATGAGGGAGGACCACCAGGCGCTGACGCGGTGGGGGCCGCGGAAGCGCACGTCGCCGACGAGGGAGTGGCGGCCGCGATCCCAGTCCTGGGCGTCGTAGTAGCCGCCGAGCTTGTCCTCCTTGGCCCAGTAGACCTCGAAGTAGGCGAAGAAGGTGCCCTCCCAGGCGGCGAGGACGGCAACCTGGTGGGGGTCCTCGTGGATCTTGCGGAGGTACTCGCGGTGCTGGTCGAGGGTGCCCGTCTCGTTCCAGCCCTGGGAGACGCGGGGGTCGTTCTGCCACTCGTGGAAGAGGCGCAGGTGCTCGGCGTCGGTGTAGTCGAGGGACACCATGGAAAAGGTCTCCTTGAGGTGGGGGATCCAGCGGCTATAGACGACGGCGCCGGGCGCGGGCTTGGCCGGGCGGATGGGGTGCCAGGCCTGCTGGTGCAGGGTCGGGTTCGAGGGGTCGCCGGCAGGCGTCAGCGTCATGGTGTGCTGAAGCGGCGTCAGGGGGTAGGAAGAGAGGGTGCGGCCGGCGGGCAGCAGCGGCGAGGGCGACTCGGCGGGCAGCCAGACGGGACGGGGGCCGAAGGGCGAACCGGCGCCCTGCCAGAAGGCGCTGCGCAGGAGAACGACGGTGGACCTTGTGGGCGTCGCCTCGGGGTTCTGCTGGCCATTCTGCGCGGGGTGCTCGATGGCGAGCGCGACGGCCTGGAGCTGCTGACCGAGGAGGGCCGCATCCGTGCCGCGCAGCTCGAGGCGCGCCAGCTCGGTGCCGGGCCTGATGGTGAAGAGCACGTAAACGAGGAGCCATGCCTGGGCGAGCGTCGGCTGCTTCTGGCCAGGCCACGAGACGACAAAGTTGGGGGCGCGCCGGGATCGAGCCCAGGCGCTGTTGTTCGAGTCGGGCGGCAGCTCGCTCGACTTGAGCTCGGCGGGCTCTGCAAAGTAGAGTTCGGGGTTGTCCAGCGGCTCAGGCAGCTCAGACGCGCCCTTGGCTTGTGTCGCGCGAGGGATCAGCTTGTAGAAGTGCAGGCCGCCCTCGGAGCTCTTGCCAGAGAACTCATCGTGGTTGAAGGCGCGCTGGAGGGTGTACTCGGTCGAGTAGGGGCTCGGGAGCTTGATGAGCGTCTCGTCTGGTGACAAGCTGGCGAGGGTGGTGGAAGTCGACATGATGGCAGGTTTTGTCAGTCCTGCTTGCTAACCTTGGGTATGATGATGGAGAGATGTCAATGGCAGGTGCGAGGTCTCCGAGCTGCCATGTCTGTTCGGCAACAGACAGCAATACCAGGACTAGCAACCGGGTATAGCTGAACGAGGGGCGTGAGCGGCGCGCCTCGGAGCTACGAGGAGCTCTCTCAAAAATATTGCCCCCCATGTCATGTCATACTGCAGCTGGGTTGGCAGTCCGTCGGTTCGGCTGGACATGCCTGCTGCCGATCCAGAATGCAGGACCCTTGCCTTCGAGAACGAACAAGAAGAGCGAGCGAGTCTGCTGCTCGGTTACGGGCGATGCAGACCCCCCCTCGCGTCATCCACTGCATCGATCCAACCTCCGCGCTCTGGTTTCCCAATGAAGAGAAGCCGACGTTGATCGGGAGGGGGGGGGTGGACAGGCGGCATTGTTGAAGAAAGCGGGCCGAGTGCTGGATTGGTACTGCAATGTACCTCGGCCAAGTGACGATGGCAGCTAGGTAGGGTGCAACTAAGATGGTGGTGTACTTAAGATGGATGGTGTTGTGAAGTAGGGCGTGAACGAGGTGCAGTGCAGGGTCAAGGGTGCAACAGGGAAGAGAGAGAGAAGAGGAAGGGGGTTGGAGGGGTGCGGCGACGCAAATCACAGCAGGGCAGGCCAGGGTCAGGGAACGTCAGCGGATCAGATAACTCTAGGGGCTCCATCAGGGGCACCAGGGGCCTCTTGGGGCCTCTTGGGGCCCCATCCACGCCTCCAGCGCTGAGCCGATTTCGGCGAAACCCCCGATGGCATTCGATCTGATAAAAATCTTTTCCTCCTACGATCCTGGACCCATGGCCGAGCATAGCGTCCATCACAAGCCAACGCGTCATGAGGCACCCGCTACTTACTCGTCACCTGCATTTGCTCCGCCGGATGAGACGGACATGTCTGCGTGCTGTGCTGCTCACCAAGGCTCCAGCTGAGCAGCGTGCAAATTTGTTGGACAACCATGAGCTTTACACTGTATCAACGTGCATTGATCAACACAGGTAGCCTTGATGTAAACAGAAAATCTATGTTCCCAAACGCCATCGTACCCCCAAACCATCATATCCAGAGTGCCATGAAGACCTTCCCATCCAAACGGATCAACGGGGTATCAGGTATCAGTCTTGTACCATGTGCCTTGTACGCCAACAAGCCAGCCTAAATCAAGCCGCAATCTCCTCCACCTTCGTAGCCTCCTCGGTAATGTCAACGGCCGTCTTCGCAGCCGTCTCGGCGGCAACGACCGCGGCCTCCTCCTCCTCCGCAGGGCTCTTTCCAAGGCCCATCCAGTTGTAGCAGACTGCGGTTCGGTTAGCCAATGTGAGCGGATCAGAAGCATCGGGCCAGAAACATAAACGCGGCTGCACTTACTCGTGAAGCCCAGGTCGTCCCGGAAGTACGCCTCCATCACCTCCTCGCCATGGATCGTGCCCATGTCAGGGCCGTACGCGACAGCCTTCTTGCCGACGGCGAGACCGATGGCAGGCGGGAACGCCTCGAGCACCTTAAACTCGGGCTTGTGTTCCTGACCCTTCTCCTTGGCGAGGATCGCAATCATGCGCTGGTGCGCGTTGATCGCTGCCATGTGTCCCATGTGCATGGCGCCGCCCGCGCGCTTGATGCCCTCCCACTTGCACGCATCACCGGCGACGAGATGGAAGTCAGAGTTGCTGACGCCCTCGAGGAACAGGCTCGAGTCGACCTTGGCGTAGCCCTCCTCGTCGAGCGTCTCGGCGGGCAGGTAACCCGTCGAGGGCACGGGGCGCGACACGGCCATGATGACCTCGCTGGCGAAGCGCTTCTCGCCGCTCGTGAACTCAACCTCGTAGCGCGTACGGCTGCCCTCGGGGACATCGAGCTTGCGCGTCTCAGCGACGCGGTGGTTGAGGAGAACCTCGACGCCGGCTTCGCGCGTGAGATCGAGGGCCACGTCTTTACACTCGTCCGACAGGTTCTTTGAAGGATAGAAGCTTCTCGCGGGAGTGCACGAACGTCACGTCGGCATCAGGCTTAGATGAGCTTGAGCTCGGCCGCCATTTTGATGCCGACGGCGCCACCACCCACAATGACGACGCCATCGGGAGCGTTGTGGACGGCGTGAATCTGTTCCTCGGCCTCCAGGAGGAACTGCTTCCGCAGCAGGGACTGAGGAACTACGGGCCAGGGGCGGCGCAGGCCTGTGGCACTGACCATAAAGTCGTAGGAAATGTCTTGCGGGATCTTGGTGATGTGAGAGAGTACGGTGGCTGACTTGGTGGCGGTGTTGATCTTATCAAGGCTGCCTTGGACGAAGCGAATGTTCGGCCTCTGCAGAGCAGGGATGTCTCGGAACTTGATCCAGGTCTTGGCAGCATAGTCGGAGGAGGCAAGTGCGAGAGGAGAGCCGATGAGGTGGACTGCGTAAGAGTGTCAGATGGGTCATGATATGTGCGAAGAGGGAGAGGCGGCGAAACCAACAGTAGCCGTCCCTCTCGTCAACAATGGTTATGTCAACGGGGATACGAGTGAAGTCTGGATGATGAGAGTACGGGTCATGGGCCATGCGCGGAGAACGGCCATTGCAGATGTCCAAGAGGTTCACGACGAAAGAGAGACCAGCGTACGAGCCGCCGGCAACGAGGAGGCGAAACGGTGGAATGGTGTTCTGAAGGGAGCCCATGATGTTGGTGTAGGCTCTCGCGGCACTTAGAAAGATCAGGAATACACAAGTAATACAGAGAAGAAGCGGGAATGCTGATGTGCACTGAAATTCAACCCTCGAGTATGCTTGGAAAGAGGAATAATCTTGCAAGCGACAGAGGAAGAAATGGATGGTTTTCTTGTCTCCAAACCCCCTCTTTTGGCCTCTGGGTGTCCCGGAAAGTTGGGCATGTTCTGATAGCCAAGATAGGCATTCAAGGGGCGATCCATGGCCACGTCTCCGATGGACCAGTGGCTCGGTCTGAATCGGTGTTTCTCCTCATATGCCGTGATATGAGGAGGGGGGACGTGGTTGTGGAGTCCTTTAAAGTTATCAGATCCTCCTCAACCGCCACTTGACCATTTGGATCGTCGCAACGCCTGCACCGTGTCGTCTAGCGTGCATCGGCTTCACCTGCCCCATCTCGGTTGGACCTGTTGGGCAGCACCGGAAGTCCGAGTTCAGGGAGAAGGATGAGGCGAAGCAACGCTCGCCAGGCTTGGCTACCGCGAGGTGTCTTGCGCCATTTTTCCCGGTTCGACTTGCACCGAAGTCGATGTCATGCCAAGAGAAATTATCTGATCCGAATATCCAGAGCAACCAATTATCTGATCGTTGGGAAACGATCATCCTAGGCCGACTGAAATTTGCGGACGGGGGATCGGCCAGGTCGGGGCTAGACGTCGGTGATCGGTGAACCTCGGATAGCAATGCCTAGCAGCCAGCTAAGACGGCCTGCTTTTAAGCATTGAATCTCATCATGTCGGCTGGTGTCCTTCCCACGATTCCGAGGATACAATGGTACGTTGTCTTCTGCAATGGACCGTGAGCACCCATGGCCTAGATAAGGTTGGTATCTATTATGAGGCAACGAGCTCAGCAGCTCAATCGTTTCTGGACCGGTCCTCATCGCCTCGATGAAACCCAAGTCTTGAGCGTTCTCGCGATGACTAGTTTTGCCGTCGACGTGCTTTGTGATCTCGACAGGCGGACTTTCATCGGGTCATTGCTGGAGGAGCTGAATCCTGCTGATGTAGAACCGCTAGAGAGCACAGATTTGACATTTGATAAGAGTCGATTCAGACAAAGGTCCGTCCTGTTGCACCTTGTCTATTTCTCACTAAGGACCGACAGGCCTTCGTTTCAAGATTGGTGCAGTAGAACCTTCAACAAATAGCCTGCAGCCAATCCTGTGTTCTGATGAATCGAATCGTCCAGGCCATGACAAATGACCGACAGAGCGTGATTCGTATCTTGAGGCGGCTCCTCACCAAGGGGTTTGCAGTTTGTCACGGTGCGACGCTGGAGAGGATGACAGAGGGTGCTGTTGCTGGGTCGTGTCATGTTACGAAATCATTGACACCATCCGAGGTTGGTCCCAGAAAATTCTGTGGCTGAGAGAGAGTGAGGCGTGCATGTGGCTGAAGCTTTATGACCAAGCTTTGTCTTGGTCGCTGACGTCTGACCTCATTGGAGCTGGATGACGGCTTGCTGCTGCGTGTCTCGCATTGAACTCCATCAAGCACAGCCCGCCCAATAGTTCCCCCACGTGTTGCAGCCTTCAAGACCGGATTCACATTTCCCATTGCAACCAGACGCGTCGTGAAGACCCTCGTGAGTCTACGACCTAGAGCGCTGGCATACCGTCACCCGACACTTGCCTCAGCTGTTCTTCACCATACCGTCCCACGCAGGATCTCGTCATCCCTCCTCTCTCCACCAAGCGGGTCCCGTGCAAGGACTAGTTCGTTTTGACAACGACGACCCTTCCACCACCACAGACCCTCTGGACAGAGGAGGGAACAAGCCAAACTTCGACGACGACGAGTTCGAATTGGTCAATTACCAACCGATCCAGCATCGTCGTCAACTTGAGGCACAACAAGCCCGCCGCGACGAGAAGCGATTCGAGAAGCGGCTGTGGCTGCAAGCGCAGGACGATATGAAGTTTTCCCACAGCATCCAATTCAATGCGGTGCCCGACTGGAGCAGCCATTATGTCGCTTACAGCAACCTCAAGAAGCTGTTCGTAGTGCCGATTTGCTTTTCTACGACATGGTTCGCACGGCTGACACCTTGTTCACAGGATCTATCAGCTCGAGAAGACAGCCCACCAGGCCACCGGCGGCGATGGTGAGTCGAGGCCGCTCATCCGAAACGAAGAACCCGAAGAGGTCTTCAGTCGCGCTCTCGATGTCGAGCTCGAAAAAATATGCTCGTTCTACGTGGCCAAAGAAGGAGAGCTCCTCGACGAGGTGAACGACCTGCTCCGGGACGTCGGCAACCACTCCGAAGACGAAGACATCACGTCAACACCAGGGCGCCGGTCGTCTGACGGACTGCAGCGTGTCGCAAGCAACCCTGGTCGTTCCTCAGTTGACGACAACCTCGAAGACAGCGACGAAGATGACGACGAGACAACCGGGCTCACCAAGAGCAGTGTCAGTGCGGGTGGCCGACGCAAAACCCTGCCCAACATCATGCCCCAGTCCATCGGCGATATGCCTGCGTCTGGCGAGCTGTCAAGATCTGGACGTCGGCAAAGTCTGGCCATGGATGATTATGCTGAGCGCACGTTCGCCTTTTCTTCTGGCATCATGCTCAAGAAGCGCATCACCAGCCTCTATGTTCAGTTGTGCGAGCTCAAGTCGTACATACAACTCAACCCGACAGGCTTCCGCAAGGTCCTGAAGAAATTCGACAAGACCCTTGACAAGGAGCTTCGGGTGAAGTACACGGCGGCTTCTGTCGACCCAGCCTACCCTTTCAAGCCTGAGACCATGGAGACGATCGAAGCCAACATTGCCAAGATGGAGAAGGCCTACACTGATATTGTCACCAATGGCGATGAGGCTCTCGCGAAGCGTGATCTTCGCTTCTCACCTGCGAGAGCACGTCGTGTGGGAGCGCAATACGTATGGCGAGACATGATCGCATGAGGAGGCGCGCGAGCTGCAAGCTTGGTCGAAGCCTGCTTGGACTGATCCGACAGCCATCACCAGGCGCCTACAAGGTGACAACGACGACACGCCGGTCACGAAGGAGCTCAAGACACCGATCGGCCGTTTTGCCGTGCCAAGTTGGCTGGCAAGCGCAGCCATGTTGCAGCTCCTGTTGATCATTGCCATCTTCTTCGTCATTCTCTTCGCCCCGATCATGGAGAGTCCCGAGCAGCAGAACTGTCTAGCCCTGCTGGTCTTTGTCAGTCTGTTGTGGGCTACCGAGGTATGCGTGCTCTCATCTTTTTTGACGAACCCAATTTGCTGACAGAACGCAGGCCATTCCTCTCTTCGTCACTTCGTTGACGATTCCCTTTCTCTGCGTCGTGTTGCGGGTCGTCCGAGCAGAGGAGAAGCCGTATCAGAGGCTCGACTCAAAGTCTGCGACTGCTGTTGTTTTCTCCTCCATGTGGACACCAGTCATCATGCTTCTCCTTGGAGGCTTCACCCTGGCTGCTGCACTGTCAAAGTGCAAGATCGACAAGCGGCTCGCGACGTTTGTCCTCAGCAAGGCCGGTACCACGCCACGCACCGTTCTCGTCGCCAACATGCTCGTCGCTGCCTTCGCAAGCATGTTGATCTCCAACGTTGCTGCTCCGGTGCTGTGCTTTTCCATTATTGAGCCCATGCTGAGGACACTCCCTCAAGATTCGGCCATGTCCAAGGCTGTCATTATGGGCATCGCACTGGCGTCTAACATTGGTGGCATGCTGTCCCCCATTGCGTCACCGCAGAACGTTGTTGCTGTTGGCATCATGAAGCCCGCACCGACCTGGATTCAGTGGTTCTTCATTGTGATTCCTGTTGGCATCGTATCGATTGTGCTCATCTGGATTCTGCTGCTCATCACCTTCCAGCCGGGCAAGGGCACCACCATTGCGCCCATCCGGCCTGTCAAGGAGAAATTCACAGGCGTGCAGTATTTCGTGTCCATTGTGACCATCATCACCATCGGCCTTTGGTGTGCTAGCCACCAGTTGGAGTCGGTCTTCGGCGATATGGGCGTGATTGCCATCATCCCAATTGTCCTCTTCTTCGGTATCGGCATTCTGACCAAGGAAGATTTCAACAACTTTCCCTGGACGATCATCATCTTGGCAGCCGGCGGTCTCTCGCTTGGCAAGGCGGTCAAATCATCCGGCCTGCTCCATACCGTGGCCGGAATCGTGTCGAGTCGCGTTGAGGGCATGAGTCTCTACGGCGTGCTCCTCGTTTTTTCGACGCTGACGCTCATCATTGCCACGTTTATCAGTCACACGGTTGCCGCTCTGATCATCCTGCCGCTTGTGTATGATGTTGGCATGAGCATGGAGGAGCCCCATCCCAACCTGCTCGTCATGGCTGGCGTGCTCATGTGCAGTGCCGCCATGGGTCTTCCGACCAGTGGCTTCCCCAATATGAGTAAGTCGATCAAATCGTCATTTCCACGTACGAAGCTAATCAGCATGCAGCTGCCATCATGAAGGAGGACCCGACCGGACAGAGGTATCTCCAGGTCAGGCACTTCATCAGTCGTGGTGTGCCGAGCAGTGTCCTCACTCTCATCGTGGCAGTCACCCTCGGGTATGGGCTCATGAGGGTGGCTGGACTCGACTAGATATGGACATTGGTAGCCATGGAAGGAAGAGCGTAGGATATTTTCCGACTGCAGAAGCTTTAGCATTTTGTGACGGGGTTAGAACTGGAGCCTGGCATTGTTGTCTTTGGTGTTCTGAATTTTGGTTTTCTGCGATTTACTCGTGAGCCACTTGTCCATAGCTGGCCACCTCAGTCAGGTCCATAAATTGCGCCAGTCATATTGTGTTTTCAAAATAAACTGAGCAACTGAGCTCGTAGTTCAATCACAGGAAATCGGAATCACGAGCGCTGATGCATTGGTGATGGCGGCAGCCTAGTGCGGACAGTGCATGCCTTGAGCCCACACTGACCATCGGTCATGCACTGACGTCGTTGCTCCTCGGTAGGACGAAGCTGCTTCTAGAGCCAGCACGCAAAGAGCTCCGCAGCAATCCCTCTTCGCGCCCAACGAGCATGAGCTGTGCATGCGACCACAGGCTCCCACACATACCTAGACCTACACTCTGCTGGATGAGGGCGCCAGGAAACTGAGCTTGCGCGGTTCGCGAGCCGGACATTGCCATGTTGTCGGCCTTTACAGCTCGGCCCATCATCGAGCTGAAGCAGCGAGACAAAAGCAAGATCGAAACAATACTCGCCTACGGTACGCGCCCACACTGACAGATTGTTTCTTGTTGATCTTCTTTGCTGACCCTGTCTGCGCAGGCGACCGCATCCTCGTCGGTCTCAACAGCGGCGCACTGCGCGTCTACCGCCTCAACGAACTCCCTCCCCCCGAGCCCAACGGCTCTGCCCACACCAACCCGCTCGACGGCGACGACGATGCGTCCCTGACGCCGCAGCCGCCGCAGCCGGCGCCAAAGCCGACCGATCTGCTGCGCGAGGTGGAGAAGTTCTCGACGCGCGCCATTGAACAGCTCGCCATCATCAAGGAGGCCACGACCCTCGTCTCGCTGTCCAACTACTACATCTCCCTGCACAACCTGCAGACGTACGAGCTGATCGAGACGCTGTCGCGCACGAAGAATGCGTCGTGCTTCGCCGTCACCTCCAACATTGTCAAGGACCCAGACACTGGCATCCCCGAGATCATCAGTCGGCTGGCCGTGGCTGTTCGGCGGCGGCTGCTGGTATGGAACTGGCACGAGAGCGAACTGAACGCCGACGTGAGGAGATTACGCTCGCCGAGTCCATCCGGACGGTGACGTGGGTCAGCGCGACAAAGGTCGTCTGCGGCATGAACGCGGGCTACGTCACCGTCGACGTCGTGAGCCATGATGTGCAGGACATCATCAGCCCGGGATCCAGCGCCTCCGGGGGGCAGGCGAGCCGCTTCGGCGCTGTCAGCAGCGCTGGAATGGGGTACATGGGCCTGGGCGGCTACATGCCCAAGCGCTGGGCGCGAAGCTGGCCGAGGGCGAGATGCTGCTGGCAAAGGACATTAATACGCTCTTCATCACGGACGAGGGGAAGCCGGTCGAGAAGAGACAGATTCCGTGGCAGGCAGCGCCGGATTCGATTGGATACTCGTACCCCTACATCGTGGCGCTGCAGCCACCGGCAAAGGGGTCCCTGGAAGTCAGGAACCCGGACACGTTGTCGCTGCTGCAGACCCTGGCTCTTCCTGGCGCTGCGCAGTTGCATTTCCCGCCTCCGAATCTCAGCTTGGCCCACGCCGGCAAGGGCTTCCACATCTCGAGCGAACGGTCAGTGTGGAAAATGGATGCCACCGACTACGACTCGCAGATTGACGAGCTCGTGGAGAAGGCTAAATACGATGAAGCCATCAGCATACTGAACATGCTAGAAGACGCCTTGCTGAAGGACAAGACAGAGACGCTCCGCGAGGTCAGCATGCTCAAGGCGGAAGCAATGTTCAAGCAGAAGAAGTTCAGGGATTCGATGGACCTCTTCAACGAGGACCACGTGCCCGCTCCGCCGGAACGCGTTCTGAAGTTGTACCCGCCGGCGATATCAGGTGAGCTCTCTGGCTGGGGGCAGTCCCGTCAGGACGAGGCAGAAGAAGACAAACACGACGGTGATGGCTCGACAAAAGACACCAACGGGGACTCGCCGAGTTCTGAGAACCCACCAGAGACGGCAGCATCGCCGGTCAAGGCGACTGGCGGGTTCGCGAAGCTCTTCCTGGGACATCGCAAGGCTCCAGCGTCAGACACCGCATCCATCGCATCTAAGAAGCTTGGTACGGATGTAGAGGACGCGCCGAGCATCAAGGGCAAGTCTTCTGACGATTTGTCACTTGAGGAGAAGGATCTGGCAGATGCTGTTCATGCATTGACTGGCTATCTCGTGGGAACCCGGACACGGCTTCAACGCGTCATCGATCCGGTCACTACGAAATTGAAGCGGTCTGACACAAACGGCTCAACAGAAGAGGCCATCAAGAACCTGATGCCAACGTCATCCGACGAGTCGGATGCGCAGCGCGAAGGCGAGCTTCAGAGGACCTTCAGGCTCGTCGACACAACCCTTTTCCGAGCTTACATGTACTGGCGGCCCCAGCTAGCAGGTTCCCTGTTTCGCATTCCCAACCTGTGCGACCCCGAAGTGGTCAACGAGAAGCTACTAGAGCATAACAGGTTCACGGAGCTGGTCGACTTCTTCTACGGCAAGAAGCTGCACTCACAGGCATTGGAGCTGCTCAAGCGATTCGGTGCAGCGGAGAAAGCCGACGAGGCAGCGCCGACATTGCACGGTCCCGAGCGCACCATTGCCTACCTGCAGAACTTGCCTCCGCACGAGATCGACCTGATTATTCACTATTCGGAATGGACACTGAAACGCGACTCGGAGCATGCGATGGAAGTTTTCATCGCAGACTCCGAGAACGCCGAGACGTTGCCTCGTGACCGTGTTGTCACCTTTTTGAGGAGGATCGACGCCCGTCTCGAGCTGCAATACCTCGAGCACATTATTGGCGAGCTCGACGACTCGACACCTGACTTCCACAATCGGCTGGTGGAGCTCTACATTCAGCTACTCCGGGAAGGCTCCAGCGAAGGGAGTCAAGACGATCTCATGGTGCGGTTTGTGGAGTTTTTGCGGGAAAGCAAGCAGTACAGCCTCGGCAAGGCTTACGGGCTCATCCCTCGAGACGGTAAGTTTGTTGACAATGAGCCATTGTGAGATGAGACTAACCGTCACAGATCCTCTCTTTTACGAACCACAAGCGGTTGTTCCTTGAGCAACATGTGATCACATAAACAAGCACTCCAGATCTATGTCTTCAAGATGCGAGATTTATAACAAGGAGAGGAGTAAGTTTTATTCCGGACGAGCAATTTTGGGCTGCGTAACTGACAATCCAGGTATTGTAACCGTGTTCATAGAAACGACGATTCGAGTACATCGCCGGAAACGGTCGCGACCTTCCTCACCCGAGGACAAGGACGAAGACACTCCCTCCATCTACCACACGCTACTGTCACTCTACCTGACACCACCGGCACCTCACAAGACGGCCCTCGAACCGGCCCTGGATCTTCTGTCAAAGCACGGCTCACGTCTCCCCGCCACGTCAACCATGTCACTCATCCCGAGTACCCTGCCGGTGAGCGAGCTCGAATCATACTTCCGCGGCCGTATCCGCTCGGCCAACAGCGTGGTCAACGAATCTCGCATCGTTGCGGGCTTGCGGGCGACGGAGTACATCTCCAGCCAAGCCCTTCTCTTACTGGGCGACGGCATCCCTGGCGGACAGGGCGGTCGTAATCGGCGTGTCGTCATCACCGACGAGCGGCTCTGTGGCGTGTGCCACAAACGCCTCGGCGGCAGCGTCGTGTCGGTGCTGCCAGACAACACGGTGGTCCACTACGGATGCCTGAACAGGGCGACGGCGCAGAAGTCGGACGGCCAGAAGGCGGGAAGTTGGGGGCGAATGCGCTCGTCGACGCGAGACCGGCCAAGCGTTGTCGGTAACGGTGGGGAAGGAACCTGGCAGCCGACGAGTCCCTCAACGCGGGAGCGAGAGGCACCTCAGGGCGGCGGTGAAGGCACATATGTGTTCTCCTGATGACCCTGAGGCGGCTGTTTGCTTCTCTTTTCCCCTTGTGACCTTTCCTCGTCCGGTTCTCCCTTTTGTCCATTGATAGCATTTTCGACGCGCGAGGAGGGTGTGGGAGACATATACCCCTCATGTTCAGATAGTAGAGCAGCAAAGCATAGTCAAGGCAGTGCGGCGTCTGCGGCCTGTTGTTTTTTCTCCTTTCACTCTCTGTCCACTCGCTCCTCATTTCCGTGCGCAGAATGTATGCATGCGTTCAGTCCTCCTCCGGGAGCTCCTCGCCGTAGTTCTCCTCCTCTTTCGCCTCGTCGGCGGCGCCTTTGCCATTGGCGGCGGGGCCTCCGGCACCGACAGCGCGCTGTTTGTCTTCCTCCATTTTCTGCGTGAGTTGCGTGTTGACGTCGGCCTGGACAGTCGTGACGAGGTCGCGAAGGCGAGCGAGGAAGGCCGATTTGTCTGCGGCGGACGTGGACGAGGGCCCGTCGGTGCTGGCTTCTGCTGTGAAAGGAGTATCGGTAGGGTGGCTATACTGGGCAGAGAGCGACAGCTTCTGCGTGCTCACAGCGGAAGATGGCTCGGCCATTGTGGCCGGTATGCTTGTCGGATTTTCGGGGGGGAGGGGAGGAAGTGATGCTATATAGATGCGGGGTGGTGAAAAGTACTAGGTGAATGTGCCCCGCGGTGGGTTGGATTTTAAAGGTCGTTCGTTTCCAGCGTGGAATGCTAAGGTAAGCAGAGACACCCCGCCATCTCATCTGGCTGCTGTCTGCGGGGCAGCTTGATTGGAATGATAGCTGCCCCATGTTGGAGACTACCTTTCCTTAGGTGAGGTACCTTGGCTCAAGTTGTACTCAGGACAACATGGATTCGAAGCACAGCTTGGGCTCTGGGAGAACACGGTGGTAAGGAGGCTGAGGGCGAAGAAGATGGGCACGCGAGGTGAGGTACTGTACACTCGCACATATGAGCAGGTGCCAGGCTACGGTCAGGCGGTCTGTGCTCGCCCGTCCCACTGTCGACCCACTGGCTGCACCCGTACCAGTGCCCCTCGTGAAGGCCCCAGGGCACTGCAATAGGTGATGCGCCTGTCATTCCCAACCCACGTAGCTAGGTACCTACCATGCCTACCAGGTAGGTAGTCATGTCGGCATTGGGACGAGCCGCTGCTGACTGCCAACCAACTCTCCTCCTTCCAACCTCCATCACTGCGCCCCAGACCTCGATCTTGCCTCTTCGCAATCACAACAACACATAACGTCAATCCACAGCAGACGGCCCACGTGTCGTCTTGCCACCGTCCCGAGCACACCAGCGACATCATCCAAGCCCTACCCCCGTCATCTAAACCTAGTCGATCCCCGTCTCGCATTAAGACCCAAGATGTAACAGCTCCCTAAAACGTCAAAGACAATGCAACCAGCACGCCCCAATCCCCGGGCTCCCGGGAGCTTCAGTCCATTGGCAGGATCAGCTGCCGCCGCTTCATCCGCCGCCGCTGCCATGCAACCACCTCAGCGTCCCCGTCCGGCGCCTCGTCTCGACTCCGAATCTAGCGAAGACCTGAGCCTCAACGTTTCTAAGCAACGAAACCACGCTCCAAGCGCACCCGCCGGCACACCAATATACTCGCAATTCGCCTCCCAGAACAACGGCAGCACCGCCAGTCTTCAGAACTTCTCTAGGCCCACGGCGCAACGACCTCACATCAACACCAATGACCTGAATACGACATCCAACAGCAGCGTCCGTACCGCGAGCCCCCTGACCAAGAGCTACCACTCGAGGAAGCATAGCCAGACACAGGGTCTATTCGAACCGACGCTGCCATCGACAAGCACATCGAATCTCTCCCACATCTCCATGGTCCAACCGCCCGCTGCGAATCTCGCACTCACGGCGAGTCAGATTGCAGCACAGGCTGCCTTCCAACACCAGAACAACAGCGCGCACACGAGGCAGCGGTCGCAGACCGTACCCGCACCCGGCGAGGACGGTGCGCGGCGGGGAAGCAACGGCAAGGGGCCGCTGAGTCCACCGATTCTGAGTCTGACGGAAGCGAGCGGGCCACGCGAGAGCGGGTTCGGAAATCATTCATACCACAACGGGTTGCTGAACCACTCTTCTGCCGCCCACTCGGCGGCCAACGCTGCCTATCCTCGATCAGGCCAATCGTCACCGGGACTGCCACAACACCCATCGAGCCCCATACTTCCACCGCAACCGCAAGCTTTAGACCAGAGGCCGGCAAAGCTAGAGAAGGAGAAGTCGAAGGTCAAGCTCTTTTCAAGGCCCGTGAAGATCGGAACGAAGGGCGAGTCCAAGGAGAAACCTCTTCCGAGCCCCAGCAAGATTGGATCAGCATTTGCCTCCCTTTCAAAGGGGGAACTTCAGCACCAACAGTCTCGTCGACCCGAGCGCCCAGTCAATCTACAGTCTGACAACTCGTCCTCGGCGACGATCAGACCTGTGGATACGCTGGTGGAGAGGGAGGTGAAAGAGAAGGAAAAGAAGCACAACTTTCTGTCTCGGCAGAAGAACAAACTGAAGGAAGACTACCACCTGCCCCTGTCTTCAGCATCGAGCAATTCAAAACCAACAGACCCAAACGCGCCAACTAGCCTCTACAGCTTCAACATACCAGCAGGGCAGACAGCTGCCACCTCGTCTTCGTTCGCCAAGGGTCGAAAAGACAGGAAGACGGAGAGGTCAGATAGCCGGCTGGACAGCGAGTCGACTCTCAATCTGCAGTCAGAGTGGCCCGGCCCTGGCAGCTTACCCAGTGCGTCGAGTTATTCGCTCACACCCGGGGTTGATCCTACGGAGTCTGGCAAGTACGGGCTGAACAACATGTCGCTTGATGATGCCTGGCCATTCCTCAAGGCAAAAATGCTCGTCATTTTTGAGGGCGAAGACCTGCGCCAGCTTGTCGAGGACTACAATCGGCTGGTCAATCTACACATACAGTACTGCATACAACGCAGGTCACCCACCATCATGTTGGAAGATCTGAGAGAACTTCTCATGACGGGGTTCGCTTCGCTCGATCACACTCTGCGACGGACACAGGAGGACAAGGTCATCCCAGCCCTCGTTGAGATGTGGCTCATCACCTACACCTCCATCCTCCCGTATATGCAGGCTGTTTTCCTTCCCCTGGATCTCGAATTCTCTGGCTGCGGCGCCCTCATGACACCCGAACAAGCATACGACTTTTGGGGTGGCGTGCTTGACCCTGCAGGCGATGGCGTGAACCCAGCCTCCTCGGTCCTCGACATTCGTCGCATAGTTCTCGCCGCCTACCGCGACAGAATCATCCTGCCGCGATTTGAGAATCTCAAGACCATCTTCTCCCGCCTATCCCTCGAGTTTCTCCCGTCGAGCTTCGGCAACATGGCACTTGCCTCCGACTCTGTCAGCGCCCTCTCCAGCAGCCCGGCCACACAGTCCGAGCTCGGTTTGGCCCGCCCAGGCACAGCTATGAGCCTCGACCCCTCCCTCGCCAGCTACGGCTCTACTTCGACCACCCTCCTCGGCGAGGCTGTCAGCGCGGCGGGCAGCAACGGCGGCAACAGCGGGAACGCTGCCGTGAGCAGCCGCAGCCGCGCCATCAGTAACGTCAGCTATGCCAGCGGCGGCAGCGATCAGCAGCTGCGGCCATTTACGCCGTCGTCGGGAGCAGTAGGTTCGCAGCAGGTCCTCGGGCAGCGTCAGGGAGCAGAACGTCGAGGATTCGAAGCAGGTCACGGAAATGGTCGGGCGGATGCTGCAGTGCATGAGCATCCTGGCCAGCGTGGGCGTCGCCGGGGACGGGAGCGACGAGGGGAACAAGAAGATGGAGGAGCTCTGCCGGCTGCTCAAGCTGAACTGGCTCGGACGCGGACGGACAGGCCGGAATCGTAGGGGCATGGTGGGAGGCCGGGTGAGGAGAGATGTCGTGCCCGAGGGAACCAGGGAGGGCGTCAGGGTGTAGGATGTCGGCATGAAGGACGACAAGGTGCTGCTCGCAACGGACGGGGTATTTGCACTCACAACACACGGATGGGAGTTGAGCTTGGGACGGATCCTGGAAAGGGTATCTTCTGGGCGTTGATATTTTATGGCTTTAGGGGTCTGGTGGGTTTGATGTACAGAACGAGATATAGGCATCATGCCTTTCCATGAGGACAACGGCATGATGAGAATGGAAGCGGCGCCCGCGAACATGTTGCGAGGCAGCCGGTCCAATGTACATTTCACAAGGTGACGAACCGCACGTACATAGAACCAAGGTCGATTCCCGTTTGTGCACACCATACAGATGCATCACGTCCCAATACAGATTTTGGAGGGTTCGTTTTGACTATGCATATGCAACTGGGGACAATAGGTTGCTACAGTGTCACGCGACAGGGATCACACGACGCGTTAAGTTTGATGATGAAAATGGATATTGGTCATAACTAGCAACATCTATAAATACGGCAGGACCAAAATTTCAGTAGATCCTAAGAATAAATGTTAGCCGAAAGCTCCGTTGAACGTTTCTGCAAACAAGACAAGTGTTTTTTTTTATGATGTCTCAGTCATCCAAGGAAGTGTAAACCCTCATTTGCTTCAAAAGGCTCTTAGAAGCTCGAGAGGAAACTGCGAAGTTAAGGTAGGAACTTTCATCACCGACATCTGGGGGGGGGGGCGTGGAAAAACAACGTTCAAGGAGAGGGAAAGGGTACCAACCTGTGAAGCGGAGCTGCGGCCAGCTGAGCTAATTGGAATTAGTTCGACGAGGAGTAATTGCCGAGAGAAAAAGAGAACAGGAGAGGGATCTGAGAGGAAAACAGGTCAGCTGGTTTTGCTCTTGCGGGCCGCTCATAAGATGTGCGATGGCGACAGAAAGTCAGACACAGTATACTGGCAAGTAACAGGCTCCTTGCGAAGGGAGCCCGATGTTGATCTTCCTCATGGGCGATTCAGAGGAAATTGAAGACATGTGTGTATCATCATTCGATGGCCGGGGGGGTTGAGGGAAAGCAATGCGGGTGGGAGGAGCGGCTCGGAAGGAGCCAGGGGAGGAGGTGTGAGCTTACCATGAAGATATCACCACACACGACGAAGCTGTCAGCTGCAACTCCCCAAGCCCGAGGCCGGCGCTCTAGTTGAGAGCAATGGCACACTTGCGAACAAGCATCGCGACCAAAAGTAAGGCCTCGGCTGGTGAGTCGGCTTGCAGTTTCGTCGTGGTGGAAAGGTTGTGGTTGGAGAGGAAGGCTGAGATACCGGCATTGGCGGCGGGAGAAGAAGCTTTTATGGTGAGAGTTCACGACGAAAAAAAATAAACTGGAGATTGGGATTGGGTGGGTCCGACTTTGGATGCTGAGCGCACGGTGCCAGCACACGTGACCCGGGATAGGTGGCCGACTTCCGAGCGAGACGAATCCGAATTTACGGCATCTCTGTGAGGATGCCTCAGGCAGCCAGGCAGCCGGCTAGCTGCCTGGGTGTACGTGCCTGAAGCAAGTTGGCAGACTTGACAGAAAGTGGAGCTTGGCAGATATCGTGACCTCACGATGCCACTACGGATATGAAGCTTATACCTTATAGGTAGTATTATGTGAGATAGGAAGGTTTTTGGCCATTGAGGGCTGGAGTTCCGACGGCCTCGAGAGGATTCGATCGCACCAGCTCAGTACCATGTAGTCGTTTGGAGCGGTCGGTTGCAGAGCATGTAGAGCATGCAGAGCAAGTGCATGTCCCTGTTTGCTGCAGCCCACTGGCAAAAGAAGTCTCTCAGGCACGAAAACGAATGAAAGCAGGGGGCTATTGTTCAGCGGAAAAGCGACGGCCCTTGCTTCATTTGTCCACGGATAGGGTCCGCCGCTAAAGTGATAATACTCCCGATAATCGCATATATATAGCCATGTTAGCTTCATATCTGGCGATTTTCAGCCACCGGCCCCCCTCCTTGGGACCCAGACCAGCCCAGTCCTCACCAGGTCCGATGGCCATCCCCCGAGCGGCCGCCATTCCACTGTCATGGTTCCCGGCTCCTTGCGCGACCTTTCCAGGCTGACGAGTGCTTCCATGTCCTTCTGACCCTCTCTGATCGGCTCCCGCCTTACTAGCCGAGACTGGCACCTCGCCGGATTGCATTTCTGGCTTCCACTCCCCCTCTCCCCCTCTACAAGCCCCAAACCCCCAAGCCCCCCAAGCTCCAGGGACTTTCCCACGCCGACATCCCCGGACGATCTGGTGCAACCAAAGGCATCCATCCCTCTCGGTACATGACAGTAGATCTCTGTAATCAGCGTCCTATCGCCTTGTCGGGGCTGCCCCCTTTGGTTTACGAAGGAAGTCTTTTCGGAGAGAGGGTGACGATTGCTTTTTTTTCCACGGCACCGTTCCTTGCAAGTCGAGCGCACACGGAGCCCCCGAAGCTTGTCTGTCTCTCGTCCACTGAACCCTTCCCTGTTCTACACAAGCGGGTGTGCCCTGTCCCCAGTCTCAGTCCCCCAACCCAGTCCCCGTCCAGTCCCATTCCCAGTCCCAGTCCCAGTCCCAGTCCCAGTCCCAGTTCCAGTCCTAGTCCGTCCCGCTCACCCTCTCACCTCTCCGACCTTGAGTTCTCTACAAACGGGGCTGGCCAGCAGAGCGCGAGCGAGACTGACTGCGAGAGAGAGCGAGACCGACGACAGACCAAACCACACAGCCTGGGGGACCTGCAATCCGACATTCTGTCACATTCACCCTGCAGCCGGACACGACCCAAATTTTGGCACTCGGACGAAAGAACTCGACATCCCTGAGCACAGTCGGCCGACAACACGAAACAACACGACCTGACACGCCACCACGGCCACCGTCGTTGATCCACGGCGCCATTTCCCACGCTCTTGATCCTCCATCGCTCGCCCTCGACCGCAGCCTGCTGTCGCGACACGTCCCCTTTGACGATCAACAGAATCTCGCCCACAAGTCATCATCTCCAGGTCTCGACCATTTGCACGGCACAAGCACGCGATTCCACACGGCGTCCCCCCCCCCCTTTCTCTCCTCTGTCGCACTACCGTTCGCATCGCGCTCTCCCCGACCGACACCCGACCGACGCTATCTCCGCCCACTCGCTATTCCCAAGATCTGTCGATGCATCTTCGCTCTCGCGTCCCTCTACTACACCTGGCGCTCCCACAACTCCTCTGACGAACGACGCATCCTCTTCATCAGAACACATACTGCAGTCTGCATCTTACAATCTTTCTGAGCGCTTCACCTCCCCTACCCTGTGCCGTGTTTTCCGCGCGCACCGACCGCCTCCATCGCGTTTACGCTCCCAGTACCGCATCTTTTGTCTACCGCATTCTCGACGAGTCGCAGCAACAGCAGACAGCTCCGGATCAGCCAGCGCATGCGATAACGCGGAGGGGCCAGCGTCGATATCCACACGGTGGATGATCGGCTAAAAGAAGATATGATGACCAGTATGAGTATGGGACCATCCTTCGCAGGCCACCCTGCTGGCATGCACCAACACCCCGGTGTTCCTGGCCATCCCATGGCTCCTGGGATGCCTCACAATCCGAGCCAGCAGGGCGCGCCCGGCGGATGCATGCCTCTACAGATGCACATGGCCGTCTCGTGCCCTGGAGGTCAGG